AAAAGCTTTTTCAGTTAATCATTATTATCTCAAAAAATTCTTGCAATATAAAAAAAATAATTATATAATAATGAACTGGCTTAAAACCTGCACTACCTGCAAACTTTTAATCAAGCTCCTGAAGATGGCTAATTAGGGCTCTATCTGAAAACTAAAGGAAACTTTGGTTCAACTTAGAAAACACTAATGATAATTTTGAAGAAATAACTTTGAATTCCTCAATTCACACCATGGAACTTCAAAACCTCACTTTAACTCTGATTCAGGCGATAAGTCCAATTCCAGCTAAAAAAAACTGATTTGGGCCAAAATTCCAATACATGTCGAAAATTGAGTTCTTCAAATCACAAACTTTGCACAACAATCAGAACTTCACTTCATGAAACCTCTCACTTTAACTCTGCTTCTTTGATATTTGGAGAAATAAAACTGATTTCCTCAATTCACAAAGTTTTAGAGATATTTTAAATTGAATTTAAAACAAAATTTTTTTAAATTAACAAAGTCTTTGTGTTACTATAAACTCAATATAAATTAAAAACTTTTAAAATCACTAATTTTTTTTCAGTTATTTTAATATGTGAATTTTTAACTGTTCCCACCTCCTCGGGACACAAATTCCAGTGCTGGATGTTTAAGTACCAAATGAAGAACAGATTTTCAATCCTGGGATCATCCTGATTCCAAAAAGGTATAATACGTCTATGTATTGTCCCAAGTTTGAGGGGTTTCAGACACACGGATGGACAGACAGAATTTGTCGTTTATTTAGAAGGGGAAACCATGTTGTGTAAATAAATAAATATATATATTTATCTCACAATGTTTTTATTTTGATTAATATATACCCAGGTATTTCAATTTCTTCCTAAATTAGTATATATATATATATATATATATATATATATATATATATATATAAAGTTGCAAATTAAAAAATAATAATAATGTTTTTTTATGAAAGTATTTATTTATTTATATATATATTTGATTGATTTCAGATTGACCTCAATCTTTCATCAGAAATAACTGTTTGTTACAAATAAATTAATAAACAGTAATTTTAATTTATTTGTAACAAACCGTTATTTCTGATGAAAGATTGAGGTCAATCTGAAATATCAAATATATATATAAATAAATAAATACTTTCATAAAAAAACATTATTATTATTTTTTAATTTGCAACTTTTTCTATATATACATATTAAGAAAGTATACGTGGCTTCTCATTATGCTATATATATATATATGTGTGTGTGTGTGTGTGTGTGTGTGTACATAAGTTTCATTAAAGACAACAGACAAGGTACTGCATTTAAGCTTTTTAGAAACATTATGAAAATAATACACAATCCCAGTTGACCAGAAAAAGAGAATTAAATTAATTATCTACTATCAAAAATTTAAAACACTTAACCTTAGCCTCAATAACAACTCAGGTACAAGATTGAAATCAGAGAAGCAATATTATTTATGAATTCACATGCCCCTTAAGGAACATTTTTCCTTATAAAACCAAATTCATAAACAATTATATTGGACATACTACTAGATGACTATCAAAAAGATTCACATTACATCTCTCTGATCATAAATCATTTAGAACATTTAATCATACACGGAAACCTACCAAATTCCATCCACAATATACTGTAGAAAATCCTAAAATAAGCTGTAAAAAAAAATGGAACTACAACATGTAAAAAAAAAATAAAAATAATGGAAGCATTGATAATAAAAAGAAATAGTGATTACCCAATAACATCAACTATGAACATGGTCACAATGTGCTGGCTGTGTTTGGAAAGTAAAAAACATTCCCATAACTCTAGATACATATATAAACATCTACACATTCAGTTAGAATTAAAAATTTAAAAACATCCTTGATAATGGCTAAAATAATAGCCAAGAGCACTCAGAAAACATTTGGACAATTTTTACACACTTTATTTCCAGAAAAGAAAACACTTATACAAATACAAGAAGAATTAAATAAAAAGTTTAACCACAGTACCTTGTTAACCATTTTTAATGAAATTAGTATAAAATAGGGATAATTACCTATCTATCTATCTATCTATCTATCTATCTATCTATATATATATATATATATATATGTGTGTGTGTGTGTGTATGTGTGTGTATGTGTGTGTGTGTGTCTTTAAAATACAGGTGTAAATAAAATATATCTGAAAAAAGACAAGTATGAATAAAGACAAAAGGAAAACTTTTCTTTACTGACACATTTCGTGCTGGGAAAATGTCCCTCATGGGATGAAATACATGAGGAAAGAAAAGTTTTCCTGTTTTCTTCATAAACATATACCTACACTTGTAGTGCAAATTAAAGTTTCAAGGTTTCCCAAATTGTTAGGCACATATGGTGATTGGGTCACTCATTACATTTGTTTTTTAAAAATACTAGGTTTCATGTGAGGAATGTAAAATTATACTCAGATTCAAAGCTCAAAGTTAATATATTATTGGGATGTAAATTTATAATATGAATGTATGGAGGGAGATATCAGGGAAAAATGATAAAAGCTTAAAGTTTATAAGCTATTTCTACATATTATAAAAATGAATTTTTGTGTGGTACTGATTCAAATGTCTTTCTTAGTTCATGTAAGTTCATAATGCAGTCCTATGACATTGTACCAGCAAAAGAACTAAAAATGTACAATATATTTGCAATATATATATGTATATATAAATACAATATATTTGCAATATATATAAATACAATATATTTGCAATATATATATGTATATATAAATTATGATTTTAGCTGTGTCTTTAAAACCCAGTAATTTTGAAAGTTACTCCAAAATTCGCTTGAGGATGAAATGGAACTAATGTCTTTAATTTAATTACAAAATTAAATTCGGACCTTCCATTTTTGAAACATGGTTAGAACTGTGTAGCGGAAAAACCATATTCTAAATCAATTAATTTATAATATTTGCAATATATATATATATATATATATATATATATATATATAAACTCTTATCACCAGTCCAAGAAAAACATTTGAATCACTACCATGCAAAAAATTCATTTTTATATGTGGAAATATCTATTTTTTGCTTGAAGAAGGTCATGAAACCAGTGTAGCAGAATTATGGAAAATAGAATATAATATATATTTTAAAATAAAAAATCCACATTTCAACATTTACGGTTTATCTTTTTTAATATATATATATATATATATATATATATATATATATATATATATATATATATTATTGATTGTGTAATTGGGCAGCAAGCCCTCTTTTATACAAGTTTCATTAAAAATGACTGACAAGTTACTGCAGTTAAGTTTTTTATTTAATTTTTCTTGTGTCCTTATAACTTTTTTCATTTTTGTACATAAATTATGTAGAAACTGAATGTTTTGTATGTCCAAGTGCTATCGGCTATTATCAAGGATGATTTTATTTTTACTTTTAACTGAATATATGGATTTTTATGTATGCATCTAGAGTTATATGAATATAAAAAATAAAATATTCCTATATCTCTAGATACATACATAAACAAATGAAACTAGATATATATATATATATATATATATATATATATATATATATATATATATATATATATATATATATATAAAGAAATATGGAAAAACAAAAATCTAAATATGCAAATATGCTGTTTTAATGTTGTTTCAATGTCGACATCAGACGTTTCGGTCTAGTAGACCTTCTTCAGGACATAGTTATTAAAACATAATTAACATTAGACGCTGATCTTAAAAATTTCAGTTATTCTGTTTTGATTAGTCTTACTCTTATGTCTATCATCTTTTCATGTTGACTTGAATATCTTCTAATGTCAATTATGTTTTAATAACTATGTCCTGAAGAAGGTCTACTAGACCGAAATGTCTGGTGTCTACATTGAAACAACATTGAAACAGCATATTTGCATATTCGGATTTTTGTTTTTCCATATATTTTTCTTCATACTGTCGGATCTATATCAATATATTTGCTTACATATATATATATGTATCACACAGATATTTTGTTGATAATGTAGTGACAATATGTATATATTGTGTTTTTTATGCCATTAGTGATATTTTTTCAAATACCATGTCTTCACTGACACAACATACAAAAATGCGGTGTATTAACAAATTGACATGATGTGTAAAAAATATCTGAAAATATGACCAAATGATTAGAATTTTGTTTCTTTTTTTTAATCATTTCACCGCAAGCAAGGTGATAATGCCACTAAGACACAAAGGGTTACTGGGGGTGAAAGAAAATGAGAAGACTTTAGGAGAAGGAATAGGAAACTCAATTCTAAACAGGAAATAAGTGATATATTTCTAAAGACATGGAAGGAGTGTGAACCTGGCAATAGGTGAAACTATCTATTCTTTGGAATGACTTCTTGGTTGAGGAATTATCATCACTTACTCATATATAGATAAGAAAAGATGTACAGCCTTGCACAAATTAATTGAGACAAAACAAATAATTCTGTTATTATTTACTTTTTTCATATTTTTCTAATGAAACATGACCCAGTACACATATTAGTACTTTGTATGTCCATTCCATGAAGTCGTTCCTTGTAGATTGACCACAGATTCTCAACTGGATTTAAATCAATAGAGTTTCTGGGCCAGTCTGTACTACTTTGATTTGCTCACTGGTAAGGCTTGCCATTGTGTTTGTGCAACATTACAATTTTTGTACGTTTCCTTGGAGTAACATCGCAGACAATGACTGTAGTACAACTAATTGACAATCGAGACAATAGTGTCTGGGCATGATGAAAATCTGATGCAATCACAGATGATGCAATATTTTTCAAGGCCAAACAAATTTCATCATACACCCCGAAAATACATTCATATTACTGCACACCGCTGCAAATGGCTTAATCTGAGGAAAAAATAGAAATCGATTACACCCCGTCACTCCAGTGGATCTAAAACTGACTGTATGGTAAAACAAAGGAAACTAAAGCATAGATAGATAGATAGATAGATAGATAGATAGATAGATAGATATAAACAGACTCAGATAGATGAGAACAGAAATAGATACATAGATAGATAAGAACAAACCAAGATAGATAAAAACAGATCGAAATAGACTGATAGATATATAGATAATAACAGACACAGATAGATAGATGAGAACAGATTGAGATAGATAGATAGATAGATAGATAGATAGATAGATAGATAGATAGATAGATAGATCTGAAAAGAGAACCTAAAGTTGAATGTGTGAATATATAGAGAAAAACAAATGGGAACAGATTGAGAAATAAAAAGTGAGAAAGAGATAGAAGATAATTAAACTAATGTCTCATCCTGAAACCTCCTGAGGCTGACAATTATAAAATATTTATTGAGCAACATATTCTAATATCACAACACAGACCTCAAACCCTGAAAGTATTTAAAGACTCAAGCAGCTACACCTGTGTAGGCTTTCTCGTATATTGATTAGAGTCTAAAAATAGGCTGAACACAAAAGGAACAATTCATAACAACATAGAAAAAAAGCAGTTATCAGATAAATAAAATGGCTACTGATTAAGAAAAGGGGAAATTCCTTTTACATATTCTATTAATAACTGAGGTAGAAGGAAGAGGAAGAATATTAACAAAGTTGGAAGGAAGAGAAGGAGTATTAGCTGAGGTAGAAGGAAGAGAAGGAATATTAACAGGTGGAAGGAAGAGAAGGAGTATTAGCTGAGGTAGAAGGAAGAGGAGAGTATAAACTGAGATAGAACAAAAAGGAGGAATATTAACTGAGGTAGGGAGAAGATGAAGTGTATTAACTTAGGTAGGAGGAGTATTACCTGAGGTAGAAGAAAGAGGAGGGGTATTACCTGAAATAGAAGGAAGAAAAAGGGTATTAACTGAGGTATGCAGAAGAGGAGTATTACCTGAGGTAGAAGGAAGAAGGAGAGTAGGTAAGGAAGAAGAGACATAATAACTGGGATAGAAATTAGAAGCATATTAAGTAAGGTAAGAGAAAGAGGAGGAGTATTAATTAAGGTAGAAAGAAGAGGTAGAATATTAACTAAGGTAGGAGGAAGGGGGGGTTAATAACTGAGGTAGTAAAAAGTGAGTGGAATATTATCTGAGGTAGATGGAAGTGAAGGAATATTAAATGAGGTAGAAAGAAGATGTGAGGTATTAACAGAGATAGGCTGAAAAGGAGGAGAATTAACTGAGGTAGGAGGAAGATGAACTGAAGTAGGAGGAAGAGGAGGGGTAATAACTGAGTTAAAAAGAAGAGGATGAGTATTACATGAGGTAGAAGAAAATGAAGAATATTAACTGAGGTAGGAGGAAGAGGAGGAGTATTAACAGCAATGGAAAAAAGAGGAGTGGTATTAATCGAGGTGGGCAGAAGAAGATGAGAATAGCCTGAGGTAGAAGGAAGAAGAGTATTAACAAAGGTACAAAGAAGAGGAGGATTTATAACTAAGGTAGAAAGAAGAAGTGTATTAACTAAGGTAGGCAAAAGAGGAGGAGTATTAACTGAGGTAGAAAGAAAAGGTGAGGTATTACCTGAGGTAGAAGGAAGAAGAATGTTAACTGAGTTGAGTGGAATAAGAAGAGTAACTGCAGTTGGCAGAAAAGGAGGAGTATTAACTGAAGTATAAGTAAGAGGAGTATTATTAACTGGGGTGGGTGGAAGAGGGGGATTAATAAATAGTGGGAGGAAGAGGAGGAATATCAACTGGGATGAAGGATTACTTATCATCTACACTCATCTGCAATTTCACTTTCTGTTATTTCATTTGCTTAATGCTGAAATTCAGCCAACATGAGGCTCAAAAGCCACTCAAGGTAGAAGGGCACTGCTAAAATGGTTATGTTGAATGAGGTACATGATATGAATATGGGAGGTGATGGAAATAAGTTACATTCACTTATGTGCAAATACCCTCCAACTCAGTATGAATTGATCTTTTCTCTTCCCAGCTACAGCCAAACAGCAGAACAGACTGGGTCCTATAGCCTTGTTTGGTAGCCAATTTTGGGGAAGAACAACTCTGTGTTCAAAATCTAAGTTTGAACCAGTTCTCTCCATTCAGTTCTTCCAAAAAGTGTGGCTTGTTCTTTATCATTCTTCACAACTATAATTATAATATATGCAGGCAGTCTGTCTGTTAAGATCATACTTCAAAATTAGTGGGAAAGTCTATTTTATATATATATATATATATATATATATATATATATATATATATTATTAATTAAAGAATATCAAACATTAAAAATCAACAATTGATATTCTTTAATTAATAATAATTTTGCTCTGTCTTTTGACATAGAGCTCTCCCTGGATCTATATCCTCCTGAAATTGCATACGGATATATATATATATATATATATATATATATATATATATATATATATATATAGATATCAGAGTGAAAACTGAGATTAACACTGCGGGAGACTGTCTGTTTCATGCTTGAACACAATCTTCAGGCCATGTGCATTCAAGCATGAAACAGACTGTCGTCACTCAGTGTTGACCCCAGTGTCTACTCTTATATTTACAAATGCTCTCTCTAATACTGAGCACTTTTATTCATAAATATCACATAGCTTAAAACTATATCTTTATCATATATATGTCTGTGCATATATATATATATGACTTGATGTGCTATACCATTTAGCTACAGAGGAAACATCTGGTTAACAAAATCAAATTACAGTTTTTAAACAACAAATTTTTCATGATTTTTTTTAACATTCATATCAGGCTGGTAAATGTAGCTAATACTGTTTAAGCATTTGCTTAAATATTTGTATCAATAAAAATAACATATAAACAGAAAATATATTAAAGTAATTGTCAGATTTAATCCATTTAATAATATATGCTGTTATTTGCTTATGTTAAGATACACTTTGAGCAGATATGATCATTCAAGAAAAATCATGGGAAGTTTGTTGTTTAGAAATATATATATATATATATATATATATATATATATATACACACACACACACACATATATATATACACACACACACACACACACACACATATATATATATATATATATATATATATATATATATATATATATATATATATATATATATATATACATGTATGTGTGCACATATATATTAATGTGTAAATAATTTTGCCTTTTACTGAATTTTTTCTTGTTTGATTATTTGTATTTTATTTAAATAATTTTCAAAACTTTTTGTTGGAGGCAATGAATTCAGAGTAAATTTATCAAAATATTACATTTCATTTACCAATAACATATTGTGTACTTTTATGCATAAGGAGATACTCATTGAATACTGCTCAATATCAAGCAAGGCAATTTTTCTCCCCAGAATTTATTTTGCATATCTATAAATCTACTATTCATCCATCCTAAGAATATTGCTGTCATATATGATTCAATGCCCCTGTTATTTACCTGGAGCTCCTTGAAAAGATCCAAAGAAGAATCAGCAATATTATTGGTCTTGATCTAGCAGGTCAGCTTCAATCAATTGCCCACCACTGTAAGGTTGCCTGTCTGTGCATTTTTTGTAAATACTTTCACGGTAATTGTTCAGGTGAGCTCTTCACTATGGTACCTAGACTGTATGAATTTAAGAGCAATACTAGACTGGCAGCAAGATCCATTACTTTACAGTTGAGCTAGCTAGATGTAGCCGTAACTTCTATGCTAACAGTTTATTATCTCACACTTCTCACTTGTGGAACACTTTTCTGGCTCCATGCTTTCGAAACAAATTTAATCTGCAAAAATATAAATGCAATGTCAGTCACTATCTACCATCCTCCTGACTGCTTTTTTCTTTCTCCTTATTACTAATATTTCTGTTCCTAATTCCTCCATACCCTGTAACCCCTTGTGTACTAGAGACTGTAATCCCTTGCTTGGTGTGATACCAATTAAAAAAAAGTATCATCTTGGGAGTTCCACAACTCAACTTACATCTCACCAATGGAATACGAAAGGCATGAGGGTGGTTTGCTACAATATTCATAGCATAGACGTTCTTTTGTATGTGAGAAAGAGGTTGTAGGGTGGGAAATAATTTGTCCCACACAAGGATGCATGTAAAAGAATAAGAAAAAAAAAACATTATTAAAAAGCGAGAACAATAAAAGAACAGAAATTAAAAGACAGATGATAATGTTTGATATTGCTTTTAACTTTTTGAGGATCACAGTTGTCTGGAAAGCAAGAAGCCAGAAGAGATTTACACAGGCGAGAAGTGCAAGAGAAGAAACTGTTAGCATAGAACTTATGGTTACATCCAGCCAATTCAAATGTAAAATGATGTGACCTTGTTCTAGTACTGCACTTAAATTCAAAATTTTAAAGTCAAAGTACCATAGAGAACAATTACCATGAAAATACTTATAGAAAAGGCAGAGGGAAGCTACATTACGATGGTGGAAAAATGACTGATGCCAAGATTCCAAGATGCCAGGACCAATAACATTGTAGATTCTTCTTTGGATTTTATCAAGAATAAATAAATTATATAGCAGCAGCACCAAACCATATGTGGTAGCAATATTCAAAGCAAGGACAAATAGTAGACTTATAAATTGTATATAAGATAAATTCTGGTAAAAAGAATTATCTAATACAACACAATGAAGCCACTTTCTTAGCAGCAGACCTAGCAATTGATACAATATAATCTTTATATGTTCACTTGGATAACGCTTGGAACATATTCTGTTATGTGTTATGGGGTGGGGACTACAGTATTTCTCGATAAAACTAAACTTGATTGATCACTATTACAAAGTTATTTGCAAAATTTTGTTTGCTATTTTGAAGGAGAAAGTAATTGAATTTGCTCTCTCAAACTAAATAACTTATGGGCACTGATTGGTTGGATTACATTAAATTTCCACCAATCAGAATAAAGGAAAAAAATTTTCACATTTGCATTTGAGCTCTCCAACTGTAACAATGAAAATCTCCCAACTTAACAAGTTAAGGGACCATTTAAATACAAGATTTATTTTTTAATCAATTCGCTTCAAGCAAGGTCATAATACTACTAAGATGCAAGGGGCTACTGGGAGTGAAAGAGAGCCAGAAGACTTTAGAAGGGACTGGAAATCCATTGCTAAATATGAAGTAAAGGATAAACTTCTACTCCTGTTCCAAAAACTGCAGAGGCATGTGAACTGGACGATATATATATTGTGGGGGAGGACTTATTTTCTATTCTGCAGCCTCTTTCTCACAGACATCACAAATCTATTGCAACTCTGTCACTATTTTAATGGAAAATGTTAAGATGATCGCTCTATTCTTTATTTCCACCAGCTCATACATTTACAGATAGAACATGCCATGTTACTTCCATAGTGTTGAAACATCCTTATTTCCTCCATATACCAAATATAAGAAAGTTCCAGGTTTATTTTTGTTCAATGAAATGCTCTTTTATGGAAAACACTCCCATGTGTGTGCTTCCCTGAACAATAAAATCTTAACAGCATTAAGTATTAATTAAGACTTACTTAACTGCATTAAGTCAAGGATTAATTAGGATCTATCTTCTTTATATTAATCCTTACTTCCTGTTACCGTCTTTTACATTTTTATATCACACCACATTCAGTTACCCTCTATCTTGAGTGGCTTTTGAGCTTTGCAACAAGTGATGTTTAGTGAAAAAAAATGATGGACGCACATTAAAACAGGGTTTCCCAACCTAGGCAATATCATCCATTGGTGGGCAATTTCAGCTGTTGGGTGGGCAATGAGCAAATGAACAGAAAATGGTGGGTGATTGGAAATTTTGGTGGGTGAGATAGGATTTTAAGTATTAAAAAGGTATTTCAACATATGTTACCCCAAAAAATATTCAAAGGAGATATGCAAAGAACTTATATAAAAAAAAAATAAAACAGGAGGCTGATTGGGAAAAAATGGCTTCATTTCCTCAATAGGATATAAATATTCCTGCAAACAATGAATATTTTTGCATTTGAGAAAGGTCATTAACATTCAGATGAAATAACATTTTTTTTTGGTGGGGGGGATATAAATCAGATAAATTTTTTTGGGGGATATAAATCAGATAAGGGAAACCAAGAACAATAAAAAAATATTTGCTGAATTTTTATTATTTTTTTTATTAGTTGCTAGTAAGGTATATTCTTTTTAATTTTGTCAACACTTGCAACACTAACCCTAATCATAAAACTAAGCTTGACCATAAAACTAAATTATATATATATATATATATATATATAAACTTAAAAACTTAAAAGCTCTACATGTTATTTTTACTTATATTTTTTTTTCTCACGTGTTTTGAGTACTTTTAATACTACTGTTCCCTGGTCTGATTTAACTCTTAACCATTATATATATATATATATATATATATATATATATATATATATATATGTGTGTGTGTGTGTGTGTGTGTGTGTGTGTGTGTGTGTGTGTAGTTTCAATGGTTAAGTTTGCTTTCATTTATTTTTTTTAATATGTTCATGATAGTAGCAGCAGTTGCCGCATAAGTCAGCTTTATTTGCTAGCCCCTCTTTGGTATTCTTGATTTCATCATAAAGTCAGTTTACGAACCAGTAAAAAATTTTTACCAAATAATTTTGGTATGCTTTTGAATATTTACTAAACAGGTGGGTGGTGGAAAATTTTTCCATGTCAAAGTCAGTGATGACAAAAAAAAAGGCTGGGAACCCCCACATTAAAAGAACATGATGAACA